GTGTATGAGGGAGCGCGAGCGCCGCGAAGAGTTGGCGCGGCGGAGGTGAGTCACCCGGCTGGCTCTCGTTGGCCCGCGCGGGGCACGCTGGGACCGTGGCTGACTTAGCGCCCAAGCCCGGACCACACCCCCTCCCCTCGGGGCGGCGCCGGCGTTGCACGCGGCGGGGAAGGGGCGGGGACTGAGGCCGGCGGGGGGGGGAAAGGGGCGGGGACTGAGGTCGGCGGGAGGAAGGGGCGGGGACTGAGGTCAGCGGGGGGGGGGAAGGGGGTGGCTGAGGCCGGCGGTGGGGGGGGGAAAGGGGCGGGGACTGAGGTCGGCGGGAGGAAGGGGCGGGGACTGAGGTCAGCGGGGGGGGGGGGGCGGCTGAGGTCGATGGGAGGAAGGGGCGGGGACTGAGGCCGGGACGGGAAAGGGGCGGGGACTGAGGCTGGCAGGGGGTGGGGCTAGAGGGCGGGGACTGAGGCCGGCGGGGGGGAAGGGGCGGGGACTGAGGCCGGCGGGGGGGGAAGGGGCGGGGACTGAGGCCGGCAGGGGTTGGGGGCGGGGACTGGGGGCGGTTCCCGCGGCTCGCCGGAGACTGGGAGCCTGTCAGCCCAGCCTGGGCCGCCGGAGGGCCAAGTAAGTGGGGGAAGTTGTCGGGAGGTCCTCCGCCGGGCGCGAGGCTTTCGCGCGTCCTCGCCGCCGCGCTCGGCCGCTTGCCCGCACCCTCCCTCCGGTCCCCGGAGCCCCGAGCCACCGCCGAGATGCGGGTCCTCCGTTCTCACCACTCAGCGATCGGAACGGTGGCCTGGCCTCCCCGGTCCCCAGAGGGCACCCCACTTCCCTGGGAGCCGGCGGGGAGCGAGCGGAGCGGACCGAGGGCGGCGTGGCTGCGGCCCGGTGCGGGGAGCCAGAGCGGGGCGGACGGGCGTCGAGTCAGCGGCGGGGAGATGGAAGGCCGCCGGCGTCCTCCGGGCTTCTCCGGTCCCCAGAGCCCCGCGACGCCCGCGCATCGATTCTTCGGCCTCACTGGGACTCCTCCGTCTGCGCTCGGCATAAACAGACTCAAACCTTATCCTCGGCCAAGCACCGCGGAGAGAGACGCCTTGTAAACAAGTTTGGACAGTGCGATGACTGCAACAAAAAGCAGCATTATGAGGTGAAATGTAAAAAAGATACTTTAACGGCAGCAGAGGTTTGCAGGTGAGACTGGAGTTGGGGAGACCGTGGGGGAAATGTGCTCCAGGGTGTTTCCGGTAGAAAGAAGGCGGTGACCCCTGGCCTGGAGAGAGCAATCCGAGAAACACTGAGCCAACAGGTAAACTGATCCTAAAAGTGCGGAAGAAGAGCTCAGCTCTTGGCCCCTCGAGCCGCTGGGCTCCTCTGCAGGGTCTGACGAGTTGTATATACTTGTACTTGGCACAACGTTCAAGTTAAATAGCGACTGGCCACTCTTGTTCTTTCTAGTGCAAACCGGGCCACGTTCCTTGTATACTTTTAGAAAGCTACGAATAAACGTCCTATAAAGATGGCCTTCCCAGAGTTCTTCTACAGCCCAGTTAAAAGTATGACACAAAGGTGGCTCAGTGGTAGAGCGCTTGCCTTGCATCCCTGAGGCCCTGGGTTCGATTCCTCAGCACCACATAAGCAAAAAGAAAAAAGCCGGAAGTGGTGCTGTGGCTCAAGTGGTAGAGCGCTAGCCTTGAGCTGAAGAACTGAGGGACAGCGCCCAGGCCCAGAGTTCAGGACCCACGACCGGACCAAAAAAAAAGAAGTATGAAACAGTGATCTATTTATAAGGCATCCATTTATAAAGGAGGGTTGAAAATAGGCGAGAGAGAAGGCAGGAATGTAAGACCCGGAGGAAACAGTTTATCATATTCACAATGGTATCACCCAACATTTGGTGGAGTGCCTGCATACACAAATATTTCGTGATTTGCTGTACTGAATATAAAATCCAGAGCCAGAGATAGACCTCTAGCCTGAATGAAGGAGAATGCAAGCCTATAGTAAGGCAATGTTAATGGAAAGGAAGGAACCAATCTCAGAAGTAAAGGTCAATCATCTTAGTGACTATAATGGTTAACTTGAATAGGCCCAGACACCAATGTTGCCCAGTTTTAGTTACTGTAAATGTGTTACATGTGCTTAACATGTAAATCTAGTTAGTAAAAGCAGATTACCTTGCATAATGTGTGCAGATCCATCCACGGTGTCCAAATGAAGATCCTCAGAATGGGAATTCTGCCTCCAGACCACAGCATCAAATCTTCAGTCTGCTTGCCCAGCACTTACAAACTAAGCCAATTCCTTAAATCTATAAATACATCCTCTATTGATCTGGTTCTCTGGAGAAACCTAACAGTGACCAACAGACTATAAAAGAAGGAAAACATGATACTTTGGGGGATTAAGTGGTGGCCACACACATCTAGTAGTTGCTTAAGTAGAAACCCTGAGCATTATCTTTGAATTTTTAATGCTCCTGGCCCCCATTATCAAGTTCTGAGGATGTGCCCAGTTTTCTCCTTGGAGCCATTTATCTCCATGTCTCTTGTTACTACCCTACTCAAGATTTCTCTTGCCAGGCACCAGTGGCTCATGCCTGTAATCCTGTCTACTCAGGAGACTGAGATCTGAGGACCAAGGTTCAAAGCCAGCCCAGGCAGGAATGTCCCGAGACTCTTCTTATCTTCCAACTAAACACCAGAAAACCGGAAGTGGTGCTGTGGCTCAAGTGGTAGAGCGCTAGCCTTGAACTGAAGAGCTCAGGGACAGTGCCTAGGCCCAGAGTTCAAGCTCCATAACCGACAAGACAAATAAAAACCTCTATACTGCTTTTTAGCCACCCAGTGTATCTACCTTCTCCTACTTTCTCGCCCTCAATCCATTCACTATATAGAGTGCAGCAGTCTGCCTGGGCTGGCTTCCTATCTGTGATGGCCAGCTACTAGAGAAATGAGGAAAATCACAGTACAAGGTCAGACAAGGCAAAAAGTGGTACACATCTGCAATCCTAGCTACGTGAGAGTAATAAGTAGGATGACTGTGGTTTAAGGTAGGCCTCAGCGGAAAGAAAAAGTGAAACCCTATCTGAAGCAAAAGGAGTTTGGGGTCACAAGGCCTCAAGTTCCAACTCCAGTACTTCCAAAAGGAATACACATATTATAAATCAAGCCAAGTGCGGTGACACACCGCTGTAATCCCAGCACTCAGGACGCTGGGACAGGAAGATTTAAGTTTGAGACCAGTCTGGGCTGCATAGTAACACCCTCAATTCAGTGTCTATATATAATCATTTAAATGGTCACATTTTGTTGACCTGGACAGGTAAATGGAAATGTATGTGGGACTGCTCACTAAACTTTCCTCATTGTTTTGTAAACTGGCATAGTATACAAAAATAGGTGGGCCTCCTAAAGCTGTCTGTGGATTTACAACAGCTGATTTAGAGGTTAGACATAGATTATTGAACCTTTAGCTTCAGGACCCCCTCACTACCTACCTGGACTATTATTTTTAAGAAAGCTCCAGATCCTATGTATAAAACACATGCAATTTGGATCAGCCCCTACATAGAATATAAATCCATTACCCCTGGTAATCATTAAGTTTATGGTCACTGATCTCAAATGTTGGCCACTTAAACAGTCTTAGGTCTTGACTACCTCTTCATTTTTTATTAGAATAGTACCAACATTTATACCCAAGCCTAGGCTGTAACATGACTTGTAGCTTCCCACCTATCATTGGAAATGCTTTGATAGAAGCTAGTTAGATACCCCTTAAGTCTTCTACCTTAGGGCCACCAGTACACTTAGAAGCTAGAGTTTACTTTTAGTTTAAAAGTGGTACTTTCGCCGGGCGCTGGTGGCTCACGCCTGTAATCCTAGCTACTCAGGAGGCTGAGCTCTGAGGATCGCAGTTCAAAGCCAGCCCGGGCAGGAAAGACCGTGAGACTCCTATCTCCAATAAACCACCAGAAAACCGGAAGTGGCGTTGTAGCTCAAGTGGTAGAGCGCTCGCCTTGAGCTGAAGAGCTGAGGGACAGTGCCCAGGCCCAGAGTTCAAGCCCCACGACTGACAAAAAAAAAAAAAAAAAAAAGTGGTACTTTCAAGTAACCATTTATATTCCTTATCTTTTAAAACATCTTATTCAGTCTGACTTACAAGCTTGAAAAAGTTTTGTATGCATGCAAAGCCACGATTATACAAACGTGCTAAGATGAGGATCTAGCATGTCATAATTCAAGTTTCTCAGAATCGGAAAGACCTAAAACTTGGCTTCAGGCCATAGCCCTCTCTAAAGCCAGTTTCCTGAGAATGTTTTATTCATCTGTATATAGCCTATATATATATATATATATAGGTTTGTCCTGAAGATTACTATAAAAAGGCAAGGCGGAAAAAACTGTACATGAATTGTTAGAAATTATATTGCTTCTAATGGCTGAAAAATCATCATCGAAGAAAAGTACTTCCATAAAAGTTTTATTTATCCCCACAACAACCCTGTGAGGTAGGGTGATCAGGGCATTTGAAGATGAGAAAACTAAATCTACATACTTGTTCACGGCTATACTGCATAGTAAATAAGTAGGAATTAAGTTGAGATTTTAAATGTTTATGACTTTATATTGATTCATGTGGAAATAGGTGGGGAGAACATTAATTCCCCCCTACCTTAATGCTGAAAGGACACTGCCTTGAAAAATTCCATTTCAAAAGATGAAAGCAGCTTCTCATTGCTTATTTCTACAAAGATTTATAAAATAAAAAAATAGTGAAATATTTGTTAATATATATAATGGTCTCATTCAGGGACATGTCCTTCAGCTGTGTGTATGATCAACTACTATTCCAAGTCCTAGAAATGCAAACTATTAAACATATGAAAGACAAAAATAATGAGCAGTAGCCTCAATCTTTTTTATTCCTCCATGTATCTTAAGTAAGTGAAATCTGGTCCCAGTTTAAAAAAAAAAAAAAGAAGAAGAAAAACTCTACCACAGAGATGTCTGGTAAACCTTTATTTTGTTACCTACTCTCAAACCACTGTCACATTATTTAAAACAGGGATTTCCCAAACTTGTCCATCAGAATTACCCAGGAGAGCTTTAAAAAATACAGAACTCTCAGGCCCGATCTAGACACAACAGATAGTTTTTCCAAGGTAGGCTTTGGGAATCTGTATTCTAAAAGCTTCTCAGAGTAATCCTAGTGAACAGTCAGGTTTGAGAACCACTGATGTATCTTAAAATGCTAGTATCAAAACCATAAGCTAGTATAAACTTGTTGCTCTCTTAACCCCTTTTTAAAAAGATCTCGAAATATGTTCTATCTACCCCCAGAACTCTTACCTCTGGAGCAAATAATTTCAAGATACAGAGAAACATTTTATAAAAATGTATCCTAGGTTAGTGAGACTTGGATTCCAATAATAATTTAAGTAGCATTTAAATATAAGTACTGAGGTTTGGTTCTTATTCTGAAAATTTTAAATGTATTTTATACAAACTCCTAGCAGGCTTTCAACTCAGGGAAGACATGAAAACTAATGACATAATCAAATACATCAGCACTGAAAAAATACTATACTCATTTATAGCTCATGAGAGGAATAAGAAAGTGAATGACAACCTAAGGCCTTTTGGCCCATACATTTTTGTTCCCAGTCCACTCTTCCCCTATAAGGGGAAATAAAATAAACATTCTTTCCTAGTTGCTTGGCATAGTTATTCGGTGGGTAACTATAAACTAAGTTAATTTAGACATACAGATTAAAAGAGGTAAAAAATAAATACCTAGGAAGACAAAGAGAAGTCAGGTCAGAAAACCTTAACTATCTAATGATGTAGTATATAACACCATATTAGTACAAGTAAATGAAGGCTTCATTGTCCTTTACATTTCAGATTTTATGTAACTGACACAGATGTGGAAGTGATCAGGTCCTTATGAAGAATTCTGTGCTCGCTGGAAAGATCTGTAGGAATAATGAAATGTTTTCTTCATTGGTGAGATGAAGTCTCTGTTAGGCAAGTTGACAATAAAACAATGGGAAACAAATGTCTTTAGAAAGTTGAATGAAAGTTAAATCTAGCTGAAAAAGTCACTGGCAAATGATAATGTAAAAAAAAAAAAAAAAAAGTGCCACTCTTATGTTAACCCTAAGAAAAACAAATGAACAAAACTACCCCAGAGAAATATTTTTTTTAAGAAAATGTACACATCCATTTCACTGACAATTACAAGAAAATAGCCATTTATAGAAGTTACACAATGCTTTCAACAAATCCCAAACCAGTTTTGGGAAACAGATAAAGCCATTGGATAAATAAATATACATACTAGCTAATATAAAACAATTTATGGTTATGAATTGTCATCAGTCCTCTTTTTAGGACCCAAAGAGAAATGCAGTGATAAATCTGATTAGGGCTACATATATTACATGGAATTAAAAAACACAACCAATGAAAATATCCACTGTAACCATGATACAAATATTTAAAAGAATGTCTTGAAAGTCAGATATTGTTACTGGGAATAGCACGATTTTAATAGATACTTCAGAGCTGTAATGTGTACACAGGTCACTTCCTGGGTCACCTCAAGAATCCATCAATCCTGCACTTTTACTACAGTCATGTTTCCTGCGGGAGCTGATGGGCTGGGCACATCTCATTCAAAAGACACAAACACCTCCAACAAATAAACTAAATGGAAGTGTTCAGTATCTATCAAAAAGGTACGATGGGAAGATAAAACATTAAGGTGGAAGAAAGCTGGCTAAATTTTTGTTTCAACAACTTTACCTGAATAAAAAAATACTAATTTGGTCTCAAGAAATCATCTTAGGCTACATAAAATTTCCCTTTTTTTTATAGAAGCTGGTTATGTTTAATTCATTTTATCAATTGACTTAAGGGAAGTTTTCTACTATAGGATAGAAAACAACTCTACCACTAATAAAAGATGATTAAAAGTTGCTTTTCATTATTAAAGTGCCCATGGGCACATTTTCCTTTAAGTTATGGGAAGACCCTTTGAGTATTCACTTCATCAGAAAACTTTCAGCAATTTTGAAGTGTTCTGAAAATTCAGATATTATATAGGTTTTGGGGTTTGCCATTTGAGCATAAAATAGGAGGGATGGGGGAAATGTAACTAGGTTCACAATTTTGAGCAAGCGCATATGTAAAGGTAACATATGTACATTTTATTTCAAGAAAGACAATAAGACAAACAGCATAAAGATGCCCAGATGCCCTAAAGATAAATACATTTCAAAGATTCTCATTAAAATGAATCTGTAGTATTTTTCCTGCAAGCAAAATACCTTTCTTTAAATTAAAAAAAAAAAAATCAGTATTCTGAATTGCAATGCTTTTGCTTTTTTTTTTTGCAGAAAATCTGCCATGATTATTTTTTAAGTGAATAAGGATTTTCCACAAAACAGGCTTGCTCTACATGCTAGATTTTTAAACAGTTCAGTGACACAATATGCTAACTACATACACAACAGATAATATAGTAAGAAAACACTCAACCTGATGAAAAGTTAAAATCTTCATTAATACACTGAAAACTTGACATAACTCATGCCTTTAAAATCAAAAATACAAAAATTAAATGTTTTCCTAAAAAGATTTCCTTATTTTAAGGATTCATTTGAAAATGAAGCTGCATGTAATTTGTACAATAAGTTGTACAAGTAAACAGGTAATATACATAAAAAATTAACTGACATACTCCTCAATTATCAGTTGTCCACCTTTAATTTCCAATACTGTACTTTCTTAACAAGCATACAAAATATCAAACTTCTCTTTAGAAAAAGTGCCGCTCTTTGACATCCTTTACACAAAAACAGTCTGAGCCTGTGGCATGTTAATGCAGTTGAGAGGCAAAGCATACTAACTTTTACAAATTCTACCTTCCATAAAAAGCCCCCTGAAAAGGAGATTACACGCCACTATAAAAATATCAACCTCTTGTGGTAGCTGCATTAGAGAACCAAGGCTTGAAGACTATTTTCATATAGCATAGAAAACCACTATGAGAGCATTGGTGGCTTGGGAGTGTACTGTGCCACAAGACTATGCATAGCTACTGTGAGGTACCAAGACTGTTACACAGCATTTTAAATTGATTGTAACCAAGAGCATAACAGAGGTACTACCAGCCCATGCAAAGTAACTAAAAATACTGAGCCACTGTGCTGAATACTTCCATTCCTAGAGAAAACCAAAGGCAGCAGTAACTAAATCAAGCCCAACAGGTGACCGAACTCCTTCTCCTCAAAGATTGGTGAGCACAGTGAGGTCTGAGGTATACCTTTATCCATTAAATCTGTGTGCCATTGCAAGATATTATCATTTGGGAATACATGCCATCACAATGGTTTAAACTTTTGAATATTAGTCATTCATATTTTCTTATCTACCCAGTCTCTTGATTTTTGAAAAGATTTCACCTACAGTAGAATATTACAGAAACAAAATATAAATGCATATCTTTCTAAATGAAACTTACATGGACTAAAAGTAGAGAATATTTTTAAACAAATATACAATATGCAGGCAGACAAAGCAGGAAAACGGCCATTCAAATGTATAATAAAAAAACTAAAAACTGACTATTTCCAGAAAACTATGAAGCGCTTCAACTAAAAGGAATGCATAATGAAATTCTAATCTACTACAGGTCAAAAATGTAAAAAGGTTATAAACCTTAACAGGAAAAATAAAACAACTTTTACTGGCCATTCCTGTTGAAATGAGAATCGTAAAGTAACAGAAAAGTGGCTACAAACCCACTTAGAGCACCAAACAGAGAGAAAATAAAAGTCCATTTTCATCTCTGTTATTATCATAAAATCCTGTGGAACTACAGGTCAAACTGCTGGTGGCAGAAACAGAATTCTTTATAAACTGCAGATGTCCTGTACATAAAAAAATTTCACTGGAGTTGCACTAGTTCTAAAGACTCTTCTGTTTTAGCCTACCTACTGTATGTATTCAATCTGAGATAGATAAAGTCTCTTTCTGTAACCCTTGATTATTATTGGGCACCAAAGATAAGAAAAGCAAGACGGGGTACAAAAATGCAAAATTTCAACAGTAATGGCAATGTTTTTGTCTTAGTCCAAAAGGGTCCTGCATTCTTTCCCCCTTCAGTGATTTGACAAGTCTTTGTATTTAATCTGGGGGCAGCAAATCATGCAAGCGAAATCTGTCTCTGATGTGAGGCCGGACATCTTCATTCTGTGGAAAAAAGACAAATATTTAAAAAGACAATTTAAAAATATTATCCCTGTAAACCTTCTTCTTTACAGAAAAAATATACCTTAATCTTGCTTTATGATATATTAGTGTGCTTGCCAAATACAGTTAGCCTTCTAATATCCACAGGTTTGCATTTGTACATTCAACCACTGTTGGCTTTAGAGGAAATGTAATAGTAATATATGTACAGACTTGTTTCCCAGATGATTCACTGGCAAATAGTCTATTTAGAGAGTATTTACATTACCACTATGGTAATTTAGAGACGATTTTAAAGCGTTTGGTAAGATATGCATAGGATCCACACAAACACTACTATTCATTATATAATGGGCCTGAACATGATGTTATTCAGCAGGAGATCTGGGAACCAATCCCAAAGGGATATCAAGAGATGACTATATAGAGATATAACACAGACATCGTTAACTTGGAACTCAATTTAAATTAAAACATTTTCATTGAATTTAATTGAAGTTTCAATTCATTACAACCATTAAACTAAAGTTAAAAATCAACAGATAGATAAAAGGGTTAAAATCTACTATATTCTACTTTTTATATTTGTCTTAAAATTTGAGAAGAAAATATTCCTAGAATAAAGTTTCAGTGACAAACATTAATTTTAGATATAAATTATGAAAGCAAAACAACCCAGTGACTTGTAAGAGAAAGCTCTCTGAAATAGTGAGGCATAAGAATTTAAATGTGAAATACAGGCAGGCATACTATTAATATAAATTAAAATTTTAAAGTACTCATTTTCTGATGCCAGTCCTGGGTTTTGAACTCAGGATCTGGCTGCTGTCCCTGAGTGGGTCTTGAACTCAGGCCCTAGGCAATCTCCTGGAGCTATTTTGCTCAAAGCTACCACTCTACCACTTTGAGCCACAGCTCCACTTTAGTTTTTAGGTGGTTAACTGGAGATAAGAGTCTCACAGACTTTCCTGCTTGGGCTGGCTTCAAACTATGATCCTCAGATCTCAGCCAGATCCCAGACCTGAGCCACTGGTGCTTGTACAAGTTTTTTCTGTAGTTTTTTCTGTACAAGATGGAAGCCTGAACTCAGTTATCTGATGTGTTTTTGTCACTGGCTGGTGCTCTACCACATGAGCCATGCCTCCAAGCCCTTAAAATAGTGGGAGTTTTTGGTCGGTAATGGAGTTTGAAATCAGGGCCTGGATGTTGTCCCTGAGCTCTTTTGCTCAAGGCTAGTGCTCTATCACTAAGAGCCACAGTACCACTTCTGTTTACTGGTGATTAACTGGAGATAAAGAATCACAGACTAGGCTGGCTTTGAACCATGATCTTCAGATCTCAGTCTCCTGAGTAACTAGGATGACAGGAGCAAGCCACCAATGCCTGGCTAAAGTAACTTTTTTTTTTTTTTTTTGGTCAGCCAAGGGGCTTGAACTCTGCACCTGGGCGCTGAGCTCTTCAGCTCAAGGCAAGCACCCTACCACTTGAGCCACAGCGACACTTCTGGTTTTCTGGTAGTTAATTGGAGGTAAGAGTCTAATAGACTTTCCTTCCTGGGCTGGCTTTGAACCTCGATCCTCAGATCTCAGCCTCCTGAGTAGTTAGGATTGCAGGCGTGAGCCACCAGCACCTGGCTTAAAGTAACTTTTAAATGCACCTAAGAGACCATGGGAACCCTGGTGAGATCCCACTTCATTCTGAGCCCCATTCCTTTCCCAGGGTGGCCTTTGAACATCTCTGCCTCCAACCTAGCAGTTCTCTGCCACTGCATGTGGAAGAGAAGCCCTGTTCAAAACCTTACTCTTCCCCAATGCTACTGGCCTATTTATTTTACTTATCAATCACTTCTTCCTTTGCTTACATGAAAGATCTTTCCGAAGTCTTTTGGTCCAAATCACTGGCCACTGATTCATTTCTCTAAATACCAACTATCATCTGGAGATGGGGGGGCTCTTTCTTTGCCCCTGCCCCCCATGCTGACCTCCCATTCATTCATACATCTTACAACAGAACCCTAGCAGTTACAGGTCATGATGCTATTTAAAACCTGTTCCCAAATTACTACTCTCTGGGATCTGCCAATACTTGTTTATCCAGTGACTCCCAAGTCATTAGCTCACTTTTCAGGAGTCTCTTCTGCATTTGCCACACTGTCCAGTGCCTCCATCTCTTGAGAGCATCTGAGAGGCTGCTATTCCTACCATAATCATGCTTTTGGCTCCTAAGGGTAACCCTGAGCCATAGGGTTGACAAAATCTCTAGATTTTGGAACTAGAGACCAAGGCCAACCTCATTCTTATATTGCCATCGAGGTCCCCAGAATAGAACTCTTCATACTTCTGTTTTCTGTATGTTTTATTATAAAGACTCTAAAACAGCCATCCAGACCCTTTAACTCTCAAGCGTGCAAATTTAATATAGGACAATCTCCCCTCAATTCTTGGGATTAAACCCAGAAACTAGTGCTTGCTAGGCAAGCACTCTTACCACTGGAGCTATATTCTCAGCCCTTTTGTTTTGTTTTGAATGTACTAGAGTTTAAATTCAGGGTCTCGTACTTATTAGCCTTGTGCTCTACTACTGACCATGCATCCAGCCCTGCTTTTCACTGCCTATCTGAGTTGCAATTGTCTTCTTCACAGGCTTCCCATCATTGCTAGGACTACAGGCATATGCCACTGCACTAGCTGCTCTCAGTCTTATTGCTGTCTGGGCTGGCCTACAATTACAATTGCCTGGTCTCAGCTTTCCACATAGCTTGGGATGGTATAGATTGGGCGTCATCATGTCCAGCTATTGGTTAAAAAGGTATCTCATAAATGTTTCTGCTCAGGCTGGCCTCAAATAGCTAGAATGACAGGTGAGCCACCAGCATCTTGCTTGATCTTTATTTCTGATAGAATGTCCAGGCTGAACTCAAACTCACGATTCCCTTGCCTCTACTTTCTAAGTAGCTAGTATTAAATGTATTGTGCCACTGTGCCTCACTTGGGAATGAGCCTGTTTTATTTCAACTGCACATCTGTATTATGTTATAGTACAGAAAAAAACCCACAATTCTTTTCAACCTTTGCCCCAATATTTATATTAACTATTACAGAAAGAAAACATATCATTCTTTTCAACCTTTGCCTCAATATCTCCCACCAGTTAACTTTTTTTTGAGACATCTTCACTACGTGGTCCAACAGGTGGAACTCACTCCTGATTCAGCCTCCTGAGTACTGAGATTACAGATGTTGTGTCACAGTTAGCTCACAATTAACTTTTTAGTCAGTATAGCTGGGTGCTGATGGCTCATGCCTATGAACCTAAGTATTTGGGAGCGTGAGATCTGATGATTGTGGTTCAAAGCCAGCCTGGGCAGAAAAGTCCTTGTGAGATACTGATTGCCAATCAACCACTCAAAAATCAGAAGTGGTGCTATGGCTCAAATGGCTTTGTACTCTTTGAGTACAAAGAGGCTCAGGGACAATGTCCAGACCCTGAGTTCAAGCCACAACCACCACCACCAACAAAAGTATAAAATGGATATTTATTCAATATTATTTAATTTTTTTAAATTTTTTAAAAATAAATTTTATTTAGTTTTTATGTGGTAGGGAGGAATCAAACTCAGGGCCTCATGCATTCTAGGCAATCACTCTACCACTAAGCCACATTCCTAGCCTCTCAATATTACTTTTTAATGAATAATTGTTACTTTTTTTGTGTGAATTAGTAGTGGAGCTTAAACTCAGGACTTGGGCACAGTCTCTTTGCCTTCTTACTCTAGGCTGGCACTTGAGCCACAGCATTACTTCCTATTGGATATATCTGAGCAAACAAAATCACAATGGAAGGATGAGAAGACACACTTACCAGTTCTACAAGCTTCTCCAGAAATGGAATCAATTTTAGGAGTTCATTGTCATTTTTATCCATAAACCAGCTTTCTATAGGGATTCCATTAGAAAGCTAAAATAATAAACAGATGATTAAATTTTTTACTTGTATTTTGCTACTTTGGAAAAAAAAATTTTAAATAAACATACTTAACTATACAGTAATCTAAAAGTTCCTTTGAAAAGGAATACCACCAGAATTTTCTTTGATGAACATTATTACAAGAGACAAGAGGTGGTATAGGTATAGATTGAAGTCTGATTTTTCAGTTTCATTTTTCTCAGTGCCTACTATGCTAAATAAGAAAGTTCTATTAAAACAAGTTTTGCAAGGGCAATTAACATAACTTTAAAAGCTTCCTTTATTCATTCAAGAAATAGCTACTATGTTACAGTGCTATGCTCTGGAGTGCAAATTGCCAGTATAAACAAAGAATACTAACAGAAAACATACACATTTTTTTGTTTGTTTTTGGTCATGGGGCTTGAACTCTGGGCCTGGACGCTGTCTCTCAGCTCTTCAGCTCAAGGCTAGCACTCTACCACTTGAGCCACAGCACCACTTCCTGCTTTTTTCTTTTTGCTTATGTGGTGCTGAGGAATCGAACCCAGGGCCTCAGGGATGCAGGGCAAGTGCTCTACCACTGAGCCACCTTCCCAACCCAGCATATGCATTTTTATACAACTATCACAGCCTATTTATTGTTCTATTTGTTTTTTGCGTTTTAAGATTACTTACTCAAGGTTTCCTTTTAATATGCCAATTTATGTATACCTTAATCAGTGACTCCTCTCCTTTTCCCTCCCCTTCCCTGTTCCAGACCAGTTTTAACAAGCCTCCTTATTCTATTGTGCCCCAACATATATAAACTATTTTGACCCTATTTGTCCTCCTTCATTCTCCCTTTGCCTGCACTGTTCACTTTTTTTTTTTTGGGGGGGGGGGGGGAGACCCTTGAACTCTAGGCCTGAGCACTGTCCCTCAGCTCTTCAGCTCAAGGCTAGCGCTCTACCACTTGAACCACAGCGCCACTTCCGGTTTTCTGGTGGTTTATTAGAGACATGAGTTTCATGTACTTCCTTGCCTGGGCTGGCTTTGAACCTCCATCCTCAGATTTCAGCCTACTGAGTAGCTAGGATTATAGGCTTGAGCCACCAGCACCCAGCTGTTCACTCTCATTCTGTCGGAGTGTGTGTATGTGTATGTGTGTGTCTGTCCTGGGGCTTGAACCCTGGGCCTGGGCACCACCACTGAGCTTTTTTTTAACTCAAGATTAATGCTCTACCACTTGAGTCACACTTCCAGCTTTTCAATGATTAATTGGTGATAAGAATCTCATGGACTTTACTGCCCTGTCTGGCTTCAATGTTGTATTTGAGATGATATTTATAAGTCAAGTTGAAATTCTCTGGTTTTGATTTGGGATTTTATTGAGATGTCTCACTATGTAAATAAAGGCTATTTTTTTTTGGGGGGGGGGAGGAGGTGGTCAGTCGTGGGGCTTGAACTCTGGGCCTGGGCGCTGTCCCTCAGCTCTAAAGCTCAAGGCTAGTGCTCTACCACTTGAGCTACAGTGCCATATCCAGTTTTCTGGTGGCTTATTGGAGATAAGAGTTTCACAGACTTTCCTGCCCGGGCTGGCTTTGAACCATGATCTTCAGATTTCAGCCTCTTGAGTAGCTAGGATTGATTACAGGCCTGAGCCACCAGTGCCGGCAATAAAGGCTATTCTTAAAACTCCTAGGATTAAGCAATCAAAGGACATGTGCAAGTAGGCTTGAGTCAAATTGTTAAAAAACATTTCAAATGCAAAAAAACAAAAGTAGGCACTTACAGCTGGGCATATAGTACAGTGGTAAAGTCCTGCACTCAAAAATCAACATTACCGGAGCTGGGAAGGTGGCTCAGTGGTAGAGCGCTTGCCTTGCATGCATGAGGCCCTGGGTTCGATTCCTTAGCACCACATAAGCAAAAAGAAAAAAGCCGGAAGTGGCGCTGTGGCTCAAGTGGTAGAGTGCTGGCCTTGAGCTGAAGAGCTGAGGGACAGTGCCCAGGCCCAGAGTTCAGGCCACCACCGGACCCAAAAATAAAAAATAAAAAAATCAACATTATCCAAAACAAAGAAGCTAGCAACCTAAAGTGAACACCTTTCAATACTACATAGCTTTTTCCCTGTCTCCACTTATTTTTAGAGAGAAGATATCACTATGCAGTTGAGGCTGGCCTCAAAACTCATGATCCTCTTGTCTCATCCTCCCAAATGCTAGATTGAAAGCGTATACCACCAGGCAAACCTCCCCAACCTCCTTTTTTTGGTGCTGGTACTGGTACTTGAACTCAGGGCCTCATGCTCTGGCTTATTATTTTTTTGCTGAAGACTGGTAGTATACCACTTGAGACACACTTCCATTTGTGGGCAGTTGCTGGTTAATTGTAAATGACAGTCTTTCAGATTTGTCTACCCAGATTGGCTTTAGACCACAATCATGAGATCTTAGTCTCTGAATGGCATTACAGATGTGAGCCCCTGGTGCCCAACAACTTTTTCTTTTTTGAAACAGAAGCTACAAGGCCTACACCCCAATTCCTATTTTACATTGACTATGAAACAAATTTCACAAATGATACCCCAAGGACATAGTCATAATAGAGACACTGTATTTTGTAAAGAAAACACCTTTAGCTTTAGTTACAAGTCAAAGAAATATTAACAAAAGGTACAAATGTTTTGACAAAATAGTCTAAAAACTATTTCAGAATCAAGCAGATGAGAATATGCACAGGCCAATTATAATTCTTAAACATGTTGATAACTACTGATTTAATAACTAATAAGACTGCTATTAAATGATGTATTCCTACAGCTCTTTTTCATTTTGATTTACTACTAAAGAGTTTTCATTTCAGATTTTCTCCATTTATGTTGGAAATGCCATCAGGAAAAATTCTATTATCTCCTATCATATTCTTTTTAGCAAAATGTCATCATTATATTTTTTCCAATTTAAGTTTAACAGTCCTTTTCCTACCTGATATGCAAAGGCTTGTGGTGAGTTGTCAATTATTATTGTTTTTGAAAGATCCCTTCCAAGGATATTTAAGTCCTTTATATAGTTTCCTTGTACACAAACACAATGTTCACGGAAAAGCCGATGCCTAAACATAAAAAATAAAAATAAATTAAACAAAACAGAAGGCCTCCATAGTACATATACTCAAACATATATATTCCACAGGTTATGTAGGTTAAGTCATTATTTTTTCTCACAAAGGAAATTTAAAAAATACAAATACTGTTCATAAACTTTGAACTATAGCTTTACTATACAAATTCTTAGCAAACTGAAACTGTACAACCAAACATTGCCATGCCTTAAAGAACTTTGCTTTATCCTAAAATGTCATATTAAATTATAAAGGGGGTCAAAAATTCTGAAGTGTTTTTGTAATTTATTTACCCAGGAAAGCTCAGCTCAGATGCAGCATCTGGTTGTCAGCGAGGTCCTGCTTTTTAACCAATTTTCCAGATGGTTGACTGACGCACAAGTGACTTGCCCAAGGTCACACAGTAAGTCAGTGGTTAGCCCCGCATTGGAACCCAGGATCCTCCTGGCTCCCAGTCCTTTGCTCTAACCAGTAGACCACACAGCCTCCCTATCCCTGTACATGCCAGAATAAAAAATATGAGAAGGAATGTTTTTGTATTGGCATTTAGTTGTTTTTGTTTTTAGTTTAGTTTTCCTTTCAGTTTTTGAGAAGAGGTGCTTCTGGGGCCAAACTTTCCATCATATCAACTTTTCCTAAACACTTCTGTTTTCTTTTAATTTAGTGTATGTGTATGATCATTTAAAAAAAAAATCTGACTGGAGGGAATGGCAAATTCAGACTTAAGTACTATAAACATAAACTGATACTTCACCAATTTTAGATGCTAAATAAAAAGTATAATTTTAAAAGCTATTAAAGATTTTCATAAGACATACTATAGTAATTATAGAACCTCCATTTATACTCAAAATACTAGTCCCTATTACGAAAAGCTGACTCAAATATACTGTTTTTTCACCTTGAAATACTACAGTCCGTATATTAGTCAATTGGTAGTTTTTGTTTTTTGTTTTTGTTTTTTTTTTGTTCTGGTCGTGGGGCCTGAAGTCTGGGCCTGGGCGCTGTTCCTCAGCTCTTCAGCTCAAGGCTAGCGCTCTACCATTTGAGCCACAGCGCCACTTCCGGCTTTTTTTTTCTTTTTTCTTATGTGGTAATGAGGAATTGAACCCAGGGCCTCATGCATGCAAGGCAAGCGCTCTACCACTGAGCCACCTTCCCAGCCCGGTAGTTTTTCTTTCTTGTCTTTTAATTCCACTAGAGAGTTTTCCAGGAACTACAGACTACTCATATATGTTGTGGCTAATGGTGCTTATTTTTATTTATGTTTTTGCTGGTACCAGGACTCCAACTCAGGGTCTCCATCTTACTCAAAGCTGGCTTTCAGCCACTTGAGGCATACCTCCAGTGTGGCTTTTTACTGGTTAAATGGAAACTGAAGTCTCAAGGGCTTTTCTGCGTTGGCTGGCTTTGAGCTATGCACCTCTAGATCTCAGCCTCCTGAGTAGCTAGGATTATAGGTGTGAGCCATTAGCATCTAGGAAACAGTCTTTTGTGTTGTGAGTTTTGTTTTGGCAATACTAGAGTTTGAATTCAGGCCTTACAACTCACTGTGCTTGCCCTTAACAGGTACTCTTACCACTTGAGCCATGCCTTCAGTCCTCATTTCTACATTTTTAACTATGCAATTTTAAGAAGTAGTTTCTTCTTTTTTTTTTTTTTGGTCCGGTTGTGGGGTCTGAACTCTGGGCCTGGGTGCTGTCCCTCAGCTCTTCAGCTCAAGGCCAGCACTTTACCATTTGAGCCACAGTGCCACTTTCAGCTTTTTCTGCTTATGTGGTGCTGAGGAATCGAACCCAGGGCCTCAGGCATGCAAGGCAAGCGCTCTACCACTGAGCCACCCTCCCAGCCCTCTTCTTTTTTTTTATTTTAACTTTTATTTTCTAATTGTTATTATAAAGGTGATGTACAGAGGTGATTCCAACAGCTGCATAAGTTGGGTAAAGAGTACAGTTCTTTTTGGGCAGTGTTACTCCTTCTCTTGCTATTTCCCAGTTTTTCCTTCCCATCAATGTCTAGCTGATTACCACTCCTGCATTTGTTTACCCTTTGTCCCTCCATTAGAAAAGTATTTTCTACCCCAAAACTCTGTTACAGATAAAAAAACCCTAAAAAATTTTTAAATAACATAAGCAAACTCAAAAGTACTTGTACAAATTGGGTGCTGGTGGCTCATGCCTATACTCCTAGATACTCAAAAGGCTGAGATGTGAAATCACGTTTGATGCCAGCCTAGGCAGGAAAGCCTCTGAGACTGTTATTTCCAATTAACCACTAAAAATCTGGAAGGAGAGCTGTGGCTCAAGTGGTACAGTGCTAGCCTTGAACACAAAAGCTCAGGGACAGTAACCAAGTCCTGAATTCAAGCCCCAGGTGGGCGTGTACAAGTGCACGCGTGTGAGCGCGCACACACACACACACAAAATGGTGATGGCAAAGAGGAAGGATTTTACAGATAAAGTAGTGACAAAAATTTTCCCCTTACTTTTAAGAAATGTTTCATTAGTCAAATGATCATCTGCCTTCGGAAGGGTTAAAAATGACAGATATGTATATAAACATTTAGATCTGAGGTAACTGGGGAGGCAAGAATAGAATGTAAATGCCTCCTCCTCCTTGCCAACAGTGGCGAAGTTCACCAAGACAGAAGAAAAACCGGAATCTGACAATGCTTAGGAATCTGAGCATTAACAGCATGCACTATTACTTTAAAGAAAAAAAAAATTACTTGTGCACTCACCTAACAGCACATAGAAAATCTGCATTTAAACATCAGTTTCAGAGATTTTTGGAATATCTTAGTCTACTTTAAAACTAACATACAAGTCAAATATATTCAAAAACCTTTTCTTGTTTCAAGTTTAAAACCATCTTAAACTACCAAATGTTTAGATCTTATAAATCTAGATTTAAAAAAGGATAATTTACAACATAATATAATAACTATGATTTATTTCTCAATAAAATGAAAGCTTCAAGAGGGAAGGGCTTAGACTGCTCACCACTTCCCTGGAATATTGGAGGTGCTGAAGAAAAATCTTCAGAATGAATAAAATTATTAAAGCAAAATAATATATATATATTCTTTTAGTAAAAATTAGGTTGAAATAAGCATAACTTGCAAGATATTTTCATTAGGAAAAACATTTCAATGTAGTTGCAACCATTCAAGAACAAAGGAATTATTAACAGCAGAAAAAGAAGTTTACTAAGAAAAGTAAGTTTTACTAAGTTAACATGAGAGAGAATATATGAAAATTAATAGCCAGCCATGAAACCCTCAATGAGCCTTTTGTCATCATCTCTCTCTGTTCTTGGCCAAAAGGAAAAGAATAACTCCTACATCTTGGAAAATGAAGCAAGACTGCTGGAGCCTCAACTTAAGTCTCACCTCAGATGGAAGAAATAATGGACATAAGTTTCCAAATGTTTTAAAATCACCCAAACCAATGCAGAATACACTGCATCTGTTTGAATTCAGGGCACATACAAGGAAATGAGTTCAGATTAAGCTGATTAACTAAATAACAATATAATTTTGTTGTTGTTGTTGTCAGTTGTGGGGCTTGAACTCTGGGCTTGGGCACTATCCCTCAGCTCTTCAGCTCATGGCAAGAGCTCTACCGCTTGAGCCACAGCGCCACTTCCATAAATCAATATGATTTCTAAGTAGAGTTGTATACCATTTTCTTTCAATAGAAGATGAGTTTGCTCTCAGAAAAAGCAAAAATATAATTTGATCCTAATTTATGCCATTAAAAAGGTAGTATATAACATGCATCATTTCACAGATATAAGAAGGTAAAACATGCACACAGTAAAACTACACCACCCTCTCTCCCCCCAATCCCAAAAGAAATGAGGATATAGATGTCACAGTGAATAAATACATTTCATCTTTGTGTTTAAAGAACGTCTGTCTGGCAGTTTTATAATTAGGAACTCTTTTTAAAGAGTTTTTGGGGCTTTAAAATTCATTATTCACTAACTTTCACCATTCAACACAGTAAATTTCTATTATAACAGCCAATTGAAAATGGCCATTAATATTAAATAGAATCAGAAGAATTTCATAGATCAGTGTGACAGACATTTCCACTATTTCTTAATTAAATTTACCTGACCAGTTGCTTTTTAGGGTCTAGTATGTTCAGTAACTTGTCTGCATACACCTTCTTAGAAGCAGTAAAAAGAATGATCTACAAATTCAGGGAAAAGAAGTAATCATTATACATGATCTAAATATGGGCACTACATTGAACAAAATATAAATACATATGTAATGAGTTTAAGCACACTTACCTCATACATCTGAGACATTCGTTCCAGGAATTCCCTGAAGAATGGTCTTAATCTCACATAAACCTGAAGAAATATAAAGATAGTTTTCAGGAAATAAACATAAAATAGAAACTACTTTTTAAGATGTGTTACACTCTTACTTTGGGCATTTATAATTTAAAAGTTCATTATTTTAAAGTAACAAATATTTTCAAAGTCATTCCAATATTATTTCACATGATTTTTAATGTGATAATAATCATAACTAGTGATCATTTTGTGGTGTGTGTGCGTGTGTGTGTATGTGCTAGTACTGGAGCTTGTACTCAGGGCTTGAGCACTGTCCCTGAGCTTTCTGTGCTCAGGGCTAGTGCTCCTCCACTTGAGCCACAGCTTCAGTTCTGGCTCTCTAGTGATTAATTGGAGTTAAGAGCCTCATGGACTTTCCTGCCCGGGCTGGCTTTGAACTGTAATCCTCAGATCTCAGCATCCTGAGTAGCTACAGGATTAGTTACAGGCATGAGCCATTGGCATCTGGCTGATCATATCATTCTTAATAAGTAAATAAATGCATACAATATAATAGTACTTCATTGGAATGGAATTTTAATAAACATTTAAACTAAACATTGAAGGTCTCCCTCTGAGATTTTGATCCACCAATCAGCTCCATCTTCCAGTCAGTAGCATCCATCCAATTAGGCAAGCAATGTGTCCATCTCTAATCTGACCTGTCTCAATGACCTTCCTCATTAATTCTTCATAATTTCTTCTCAAGCACCTGCTAAAAATACCCTTGTTTTATATTTCATATTTCTATTAAGGTAAACAATATTCAAGAGGGAGATATCTGGATTGGTGGGTTTAAATATAACTGCAATTTTTAAATATCAAACTCTTCTATATTTAATGATTCAGATTTAATAACTAATTTAGTATTACTTAAGAGTATAAAATGAACTCAATTTTCAAAACCAACTATATTAGGAAAATATTCCCCCTAAGGTGTTGCCTTGTATACTTTATTTTGCCGGTTCAGGGGCTTGAATTCTGGGCCTGGGCACTGTCCCTGATCTTTTTTTGTGCTCAAGGCTAGTGCTCTACCACTTGAGCCACAGCTCCACTTCTGACTTTTTTTGTGGTTAACTGGAGATAAAAGTTTCCTAGGGCTGGTCTCAAACCACAATCCTCAGATCTCAGCCTTCTGATTAGCTAGGATTACAGGTGTGAGCCACTGGTGACTGGCTTATTTTCTTATTTCTATGTTTAGCTTCTTGCCTAAAATTTACTGTTGTCCTTGTAATATTCACAAAGCACAGAAATAAGCCATGAACAATACTAAAACTATTTACAACACATTTTGACTTCTCTAAATTGTATTCCTAACAAAATTTTCTAAAATGACAAATTTTGTATGCTACTCAAAGGTCACTCTAAATTCAAAGTAACATATATCTTAAGCCAGATCCAGAAAAACAGAAGTCTGTGGAGGCTATAAATCGAATTCAGCCTTAGTGGAGTTTAATTCTAGCACCAACACAAAATGTCCCCAAGACAAAAATCCTAGTTCCAGAGAATTTATGGAAAAACAGAAAAAGTATACAAAGGATGGTATTTTGCCAAACTTTATAATCTACAAAGCCCCAAACCCATAAAACAATGCCAAATATAGAGGAGGCACCTAAAGATATTTATCAAGTAAATTGAACTACCCACGGTTGGGCAATATAGGACAAAAACAGAATCAAGGTTACATGGTACACAAGTACAACTATTGAATTTTCATAACTGACCACTTTTGAAAGGCTATTTTTGAATGATTGTTATCACATAAATAATATCATCCTTTCCCCATCTCTAAGTTTAGATTACTTATTTATAATTCAACTAGTCAGGCATATTTGAATTCTTTGACCAATCAAAAACAAAACAAAACCAAACAAGCCACATATTGCTCCTGTTAGCAAACAACCAAATCCTCCATATCCAACTATCATCATCCAGGATGATGCATAAAAAATTCAGTTATTCTTGTTCATGTAATTCAGTAATTCATTTTAACATTTTATCTTAAATTGTTTGGTATAGTTTGAAACCTTGATTGAAAACCCAGGAGCATTATTTGTTTGGGAAACCACGCAGATTTTAATATAGTACATTTTAGTGGGAAAATCATTCCTATAAACTCTGGGTCTTTTCAAAATAGTTTTGTGATAAAACAAAACAATTTCACTTTTGCAAAAATATTTCCCTTATTTTTATTATCTCTGTTCTATACAACAAACAGATAAGCAGGGATTTGTTTCCTGTGTTCACAACATACTTCTACTACACAACATACTGTAAATAGAACACTTGTTCCAAAGTGACATTTACAGGCTGGGAGTATAGCTTTGTGGTATAAAGTCTGTCTATCATGCATGATGGTCTGACTGAAGTGGAGTCCTTACACCAAAGCAAAGGAGGTAAGAGGGAGACTTAAAAAAGAAGGAAGAAAAAGAAATGTTACTTTTTCAATGGCTTCCAGATTAGTTCAAAACTGTAACTTCACTATGTGTTCTAACTCCCTTCCTCAATATTTACATATTAACACACATCATATAATTTAACACTGCTTTCAAAATGCATTTGTTTACTGAGGATTCATGGTGGCAATAAAGATGGAGGGATACATTGTTAGATTGTTTCCTCACCAAGAGAACAGAAAGACTATTGGCTGTAAACGTTTCTATTATCAGAACAGATTCACCTTTTAACTGATGTTTCAGAAGGAGTAAGAAATACAAGGCATTAAGGTGGATAATGGGAAAAAAATACAGAAAGATACGAAGTAACAGTCCATCAGGTCTTAGGTAGGGCTGCATGTAGTTCTGCCTGTGCTCTAAAGAGAAAAATCTCACAAACAGAAATAAGCCCAGGAGAGTCTAAGTCACTTAGATATATAAAAGGCAATAATAGGCAGGAAATATTAGTCAAGACGTATTATTCTCTTGTATTCTCCTTTAGGAATAAATGAATAAATGAATGTATAATAGAGTTTAATTTTGAGACTAACATTACATTTTGTGTTAGGGAACAGATAACACGTACACACATATATGCCTCTAAATACATCAAAATCTGTTAAACTATGTTTTCCTTCTAAGTCCTAACTGTACTTTCATACAAAGATTTCTTTCTGTGCCACCTACAATCCCATTTTCTAGCAACCATCCTTCACAATTTAAAATAAAAAAAAAATTGGGGGGGGGGGGTGGAAGGGGTAAGAGGATACTTATCAGAGCTTTGCACTTGGTAAACATGCGCTTTACCACTACTTGAGGCCCTCTACCAGTCCTTTTTGTGTTATTTCCAAGCTAAGACCTTAACTTTATGGCCATGGCTCACCTATCTGGACTACAATTCTCCACTTGTGCTTCCCCCAGTAACTCAGATGACAGGTGTGTACCACAGGGCAGTTGAGATAGAATCTTTTAAACTTTTTATTTTGGGGTGGGGAGAAGAGGGGGCAGGACACAAACTATAATTCCCTAATCTCCACCTCCCAGGTAGCTAGGATTATGTGTTTAAACCACTGTCCATCCTTCAAATTGATATCTATATATAGTCTTCCAAAGATTAACATATTCATTTTAGTTCAGCATACATGTTTTTCCATAACTACAATAATTATCCAATCATCATTTTCCCATTATCAAATAGTTTAAGTCTTTGCTCAAAGATACATCAGAAGCTTATAATGCCTATAATGCTATAATAATTACTATATACAAATTTAACATTCACTATTACCTTAAGAGTAGTGATTTAATACTTACATTATGACAAACTTATTTTTTTTTTAGTACTAGGAATTGAACTCAGGGCACTTAATATTCTACCCCAGCCCTATGTCAAAGTTTTATAATAAAATGTTAAGAGTTGGGGGCTGGTGGCTCACACCTGTAATCCTATTCAGGAGGCTGAGGATCACAGTACCAAGCCAGTCCAGACAGGAAAGTCTTGTGAGACTCTTATCTCCAATTAACCATAAAAACTGTCACAAGTGGAGCTGTGTGGCTCAAGTAACAGAGCAATAACTTTGAGCAAAAAGCTCAGAGACAGTGCCCAAGCCTGGGTTCAAGCCCCAGTACTAGCATTAAAAAAAAAAAAAATAATAGTATCTACAAATAGTGATAAGGAAGCTAATCTGTTCTGGACTGATTTTACTAAAATTCAAATTTTATACAGAAAAGCAGTGGACATACAATAAAAAGAATAATATTTTTTTTGGGGGGGGGTCCGGTTGTGGGGCCTGAACTCTGGGCCTGGGCACTGTCCCTCAGCTCTTCAGCTCAAGGCTAGCACTCTACCACTTGAGCCACAGCACCACTTCCAGCTTTTTTCTTTTTGCTCACGTGGTACTGAGGAATCGAACCCAGGGCCTCAGGCATGCAAGGCAAGCACTCTACCACTGAGCCACCTTCCCAGCCCCAAGAATATTATTATTAACAATACAATAACACTGCTTGATATGAATACATGGTAACAATAATTTCCTGTTTATATAGATAGTGCTAAAACACCATTAGTGGTTAATAATTAGATTTAATAAAAAATCAGCCATCAAAATAGAAATCCACTTAAAAACTGATTATAAATATTGTGTAGTAAAGTTAAAAACCTTCAAGGGCTCATGCCTGTAATCCCTGGCAGATCACAGTTTGAAGCCAGTCTAAGCAGAAAAGTCTCCTAAGCTCCATACCCAGAAAAAATCAGGGATGGTAATATGGCTCAAATGGAAGAGCACCAGCCCAATAAGCTCAAGGCCTTGAGTTCAAACCTCTGTACCATTAAGAAACAAAACAGAAAAAACCTACTTCTCTTGGGCCAAATTCACCTAAGTGATTTTACGAAATTTACTGATTTTATCAAATCTTAATCTGCTGTCATAACAGTATAATTAAAGAACAAAACAAAAACCCTTATCATAAACAATATTTCTGCATGATTTTTTAAGACCAGGCAGTATGACTGTAACATGAAAAACCATCTTTGATATTCTTTTCACAGTATCCTTTGAGCTTATTGCTATATCATAGAAA